AATAATTATTTTATTATTTAATTAATATATATTTTAAGGAGTGAACTCATTTTAAGGAGTGGACTTATTTTAAAGAGTGTACTCATTGGATCCTCCCCCTACATTTAAAAATACTATAATTTAAAAAAATAAAAAATTTAGAGAATAGTATATTTTTATTTACAAAGGCCGTCTTCAACTTTCAAGTGTCAACACAACATCGTAGCAAAGGTTCAAGCATCTCTGTCTTTAGTACCAACAATTTGAGTCGAACACAACACAAGAAATTCGCATGGACGAGGCTGAATTCAGGCAGCTCCTCGAGCTCTTCCCCGTCGTCCGATCCCGAGATTACATCGTAAGCGTTCGCATGTTTGCAGGTGTTAATGTACGCCGATAAAACCTAGCGCAAGAATCATAGTATTCCGTGTGTATTAGATTCTTGTTAGTTGTTGATTTACTAATTTCCCATAAGATTCTTGAGCCTGGCTATGGGATTTCGTTAATTGAGTAGTTCGATTTTGGAATTCCTGAGAAAGTCCTGAATTTTACTTTGAATTTTAGGGTATAATGCTTAGTAGTATTTGTTTTCTTTCAACAACCTTGATATTGTTTCTTGGCTGTTAGATTTTAGTTTGGTGTTTCATTTGGGTCCCTCGTTAGATATTGATGGGGAGAAGATTTTTCTCCCTTTCGAACAACCTCGTAGGTATTGACGAAGAAAGTCGATCAAGGAACAAACTTTTGTATGAAAATTTCAAACTAATGCCTGATATACAGTTTATATCCCGGAGTTATTTTACTTTTTCTTTGTCCATGTATACATACAGCTGATTTCAAGGTCATGTGAGTAGTTTAACAGTCTAGTTACATACATTTTCAGGCAGATTCGGATTCTTCAAGTCGAGTAACTCGGTCTGAACCAAATAAAGAGGTGCTGTAGTATTATTATTGTGTATAATGCTGCCAGATCTTTTTTAACCGCGGTTAGGTAATATTAAGGAATGCTCACAGGTAAAGGAATGGCAAGATGCATGGAATGACGAGGACAAAAGAGGTTCAGATACCTTTAGAGACGACGTTCATGGTGTGTCATCTTAGCATTGATTATCTTGTGTTACTTTTCCATTAATTAATGGGTTTCGTAAGAGAATCTCATTTTCGTGGTAGTCGAAGCGCATGCAATAGAGCCAATTTCTCCTCTATCCCTCTTTCCCCCCCCCCCCCTTCCCTAATGCTTCTTTTATTATCTAATATCATTCTTTCTCCTACAAGTTAATGGAAGTAATTAATTTCAATATAAAGGAAAAATGAGATGTCATAATCTTCTCTTATTCACTTGCTATGTTTCCAAAACAATAAAATAATTAAGGGACATATTTTTTTATTAAATGCCGAATTGATTTTCTTATACTACAGATATTATTAATTGTTTATCTTAATCAAAAAAGGGTATGGTAATTATGAGTTCTGGTTGTCTAGTCATTGAAGATTGAGATATTTCAACCAGTCCTAGTAATCTGGTTCACATGTTGTTTTAATGCTGTTATTAGTTTCCCCTAAACTTCATTATGTATGCATTCACACCTTCTATAATTTCTCTTCATTTTAATCTTGGTACTGAAAACTTAATGGAGTACTTTGTATTATTTTTTGTATTTACAAAGTTATTATCTCGAATATGTGGTGTAACATGTGTAAAATTAGCAAAAAGCATTATTAGCATGGAATTGAGATGCAGTTTGGTCAAAATTGTCTTTATTCTAGAATTTTACTAAATCGTGTTTATGCATACAGAAGCATTTTGGGGAAAACTGAAGTCAGCTGCTGAGAAGAAGGTATGCTTAGTCTTTGCAGGCTGGTCTTTTCGTTACTAATGCTACATTAATATTAAGGTATATCCCCTAGGCTCCTTTTTGAATGGATGGATTTGAAGTAAAAAGTATGAAGTTAATTAATAAATTCAACCAGTGTTTTGGATACAACAAATACTCATATCAGTAGGGCAATACTCTTATTGCGATCAATTTTATTAATCACTGTGGTGGTCGATTTCATACTCTTATTATAGAGTCAATAGCTATTATTATCTCATATGACAACCTCAGGTTTCTAAAGGGTCTTTAAGATATCGAGTCTTACGTGTTAAATTTATAGTTAGATGAGTTGTTATGATGCAATAACATTGTGTACGGTATGCTTGGGGGTGAAATCAATGTAAACGTTTGAAGTTTGCTCTTTGTAGGTGGGTGCGGCTGATGCAGAAAAGTTCTGCAAGACATTTCAACAAGTTTATAAGAAACTCGTAAGTGTAATAAATTGATCAGACTTTTGGGAAGTTTCAATTATAATCGTATGTAGGCTGATTCCATTCATTTTTCTCTGATAGTTTCTTAATGACTCGAGTTGAGCCTGCCCTCCTTGTATTATAATATTTCAGGTTTATGAAGAATTAACATTGGACGCTGCTAGGAACATTATAAATTCGAGGAAGTCATGAAGCGCTAAAGTTTACCGACCGTGTGGTGTCGTTTCATGCAAAATGGTTCTGCTTTTGATAAAGTTATTTATTGTTTGCCTAAGCTTTTGGAACGCGGATTTGATATCTAATTGTTGTTAAGTGTCAGTGCACTTGTCATGAAATGTGTTTTTCTTATATATTGCATCTATTTCCAGCACTTCACCGTAATTTTTGCTTATGATGTTTGTGTTTTATGCACGTTTGCCCCCAGATTAGACCGTTTCTGTTAAGGTTTTGCACTTTAGTTTTAGAACTCTGAGTTAGAATCTGTTGTTTAACGTTATCAATTTAATAAAATTATACATGTCAATTGCCATAAGAATTGGATGCAATAATGATAATATGAAACAGCTAAAGTCTAAAGAACAACAGAATAAGAACAAACAGAAAAAGCAAAACAATATCATTGGCATAAGAGAGGCGAATACAAAACAGAGCAAATCAGCAACCACCGTGCCAGTCTGATAGCCATGAAGTTTCTATCCTTGTGTAGTTTATAAGTCATAAAAAGATAATTTTAACTAAAAACTGAACTCACCTTTCTAGATGAGCATACAGGCTCAAAAACAATCCAGAATACAAAAACATAAATCAAATAGCCCCTCTTTTGCTCAAGAAATAATCACCAACAGTCAAAAACAAGTGTTGACCCAACACTACCTCCACTTGAGGCACACCCTCGATGCAACCCACCACGATTTTACCTTTCCTAGCTTGAAACTCCGACTTCAAGTTAAGATGGTCCCTGCTCAACAAATAAACCTGCAAACAATGCGCAAACTTGGTATTCCCACCATACAGAGCAACCACAGCGTCGTGGTTGAACACGAGAGCTGGCCTAGCCAAATAGATGGCAAAGGACAAATTAGAGATCCCATGAAAACTCTCCTCAGCAAAAACCACAACGTGAGGCGGCATCACATCACAAGGGAGTAATAACGACCCAAGCGAGTCCTTAATGTAAACCTCCTGTGATTCCAGAATCTCCCTGGAGATTTTATCATCCTCGTCCAATGACTTAAAATAGACCTCGACCGAATCAGTTGGCTCGAGTCCAGCCTTTTTCCGCAACTTCTGAACACGGTTAACAATCTCACGAGCAACACCGGCTTCATACAATGAGTCATCACGCCTTAAATCCAACACCACTAAAACATCACCATCTCCTTTTGCATCCATATCCTCTAACTTGATGTTGTCCGGAGCCTTGAACTCCCGAGTAATCTTGATGTCGCTGAGCTTCAAGACGTGGGGCCCAATAGTGATCTCACCTGCCTTCTCAAATGCCAGAATGTCCTCTGTCGACATGGCTTTCACTTCTTTGGCGACAACTCCCATAGATTTCCCGAGTCTTCTACCAAGCACGCTGAAATCGGGCTCTGCACGCAAGGTGGCGTACTTTAAGGTGTTATTGCACGGGACGAGGGACTTCACGTTAAGCTCCTCAAGAACATATTCCCTCAGCTTGCCAGCAATATCATCCAAGAAATCAGAATCAGGGTGCACAATCACCATCTCCTTAAGTGGTGTTTTGAGAGGTTTGTTATGGCGCTCACGAATGTTTCTTGCGAGATCAATGAGCGTCATCATACGATTGACACTCTCTTCAATACGCTCCCCTCTTTTCCCTTCCACAGTCGGGAAACTGCAGTAGTGGATGCTTTCTTCAGATCCTTTGCTAACTTTTCTCAAATTCTGATAGAGGACCTCTGTGAAGAATGGTGTGAACGGGGCCATTGATTTACATGCAGTTAGAAGCACATAGTAAAGCGTTGAGAGGGCAGTCCTGCAGTCCTCCTCCCCAGTCCGACCCTTCAGCCTCTTCCGGTTAAACCGAACATATACATTGGTCAGATTGTCCAGAAACTTCAATAGGTAAGGAACCACAGTGTACAGCCTGTAAGCATCCATTTCTTGCCTTACAAAATGGACAAGACTCTGAGTTGCTGAGTTAATCCACTGGTCAAGCACGTTTGATGATCTCTGAAGAGTCGCTTGATCGACTGGAGCGAAAGGGGCTAGTCCCTCAACTTCGAGTCTTTTCGCATTCTGCACAAGGAACCTGTAAGCATTGTACCAAGGCAAGAACACATCTTTCACCACACCATACACCCCCTCCTTCTTGAACCGCATGGGCTCTGCACGGACAACGGGAGAGTTTATGATGTACAATCTCAATGCATCAGCTCCATAATCATTAATGACCTCATCAGGTGCCGGGTAGTTCTTCAACCTCTTGCTCATCTTCTTACCGTCCTCAGCCAGCACAAGCCCATTGCAGATGAGATTCCTGAAAGCAGGCTTTCCAAAAAGCGCAGTTGACAGAACCATAAGGGTGTAGAACCACCCGCGGGTCTGGTCCAGCCCCTCGGCCACAAAATGTCCCGGGAAGTTCTTCTCGAATAGCTCCACATTTTCAAACGGGTAGTGGATATAGGCGTAAGGCATGGACCCGCTCTCGAACCAGCAGTCAAACACATCCTCAACCCGCCGGAGGACACCAAAGTCAGGCCCACGACTGGAAGGGATGGTGATGTGATCAATTTTGTGGCGGTGCAAGTCAGTCACCTTTTCACCCGAGAGTTTTTCCAGTTTCTCAATGGAGTCCATGACCACGATCTCCTCCCCATCCTCACTGATCCATAAAGGGAGAGGGGTCCCCCAGAACCTACTCCGACTGATGGCCCAGTCCCGGGCATTCTCAAGCCAATTGTGAAACCGCTTTTCCTTCACGAAGTCTGGGACCCAGTATGTCTGCTTGTTGTTCTCCAGCAATTGCTCCTTAATGGTCTCCACAGCCACGAACCAGCTGGGTACTGCCCTGTAAATGAGAGGTGTATCAGACCTCCAGCAGAAGGGGTAGCTGTGGGTGAAGCTTCCTGATTTGACGAGCCTGTCCTTGTCTTTCACAGCCTGGATGATTTCTTTATCAGCATCTTTGACATACCGCTTGCTAAATTCGACAATTTTCTCAGTAAAACAACCATCATCATCCACTGCCACAATTAGGTTTTCCCCCTTGCTGATTATGCCGTTTTCCAGACAAACACGGTAATCATCCTCACCAAACGCAGGAGCACAATGGACGATTCCAGTACCACTGTCATCGGTTACATAGTTGTCTGCAACGACTTTGAAGGCCACATCAGCATACTCGTTAAAGTAGTTGAACAAAGGCACGTACTTCTTTCCCACGAGCGAGGCCCCAGTGTACTTGCTAAGAACTTCATATGTATCGACATTCTTAGCTTTACCACTGGAAGACTTGGGTTTCAAGTTTGAGTTTTCGGAACCACCAACAGCTCCATCAGGCAAGCCTTTCTTTGCCTTTTCAACGGGAAGCTCGGCCAATCGTGATTCCGCAACAATAAAAGTCTTTCCATTGAACTTGTTTCGCACCTTCAAATATACAAAGTTGGCATTCACACAGAGGGCAAGATTACTAGGCAAGGTCCAAGGGGTTGTGGTCCATGCAACAAAACTTGCACCATCTGGATCGTCAACTAGAGGAAAGGTCACCATTATTTCAGGGTCAGGAACCTCCTTATAGTTGGAGTTAGCCTCAAAGTTGGACAATGGTGTCTTGCAGCCAGTACTGTATGGCATAACCTGCAAAAGAAACAACAGCCATTTAAGACTAGTAGTGACATGAAAGTACAACAGTTTTTCTTTAGAGGCTCATGTAAAATAGCCTACTCTATCTTTATGTTGAATTTGGTATATAGATCAGAGACAAATTTTATTGGGAGATAAAACAGTTGAACACCAAGATTGTGGACAGTGGCTGTGGCAGTTAGACCGAAACAGTAATACGTGCCTACCTAAAAAGTAGAGCTTAATCACACCACTCTTTCAGAGATGCTTCAAAGTTGATACTTTGTAAAATAAACTACTCTCTTCATCCTCCTTTCATCTAAGATCGCCTTGTTTTCCTTTTTCATGTGTCCCATGTTATGGGGTTGTTTCCCTTTTACACAACAAATGATATATGCACCCAGAATTACTTTGTCCTTGTCATTAATCCATTCTATAATTTTAAATACTGAAGTTAGTGTAATTATTGAATATAATGCAAGGGCATATGACTAAGATAAACAAAAGATAAATATTACTTTTCCTTCAAGCATATCTTAGGCCGAGAGTACGTATTAAGGTTGTTAACTTTCTCAAACAATTCTTGACAGCGACTGAAAACTGCTTTATGGTAACATTACATTCAATATCACTATTTATTATGTCATACAATGACATGAATAATAGCCTCAGGTTCAATGAAAATTATCATGGGGGTCTCTTTCTGATATGCAACTCTAACAAAACATAATTAGTACTTAATTCCAGATAGCTTTTGCCATTTCTTTATTGTGCGTGAGTCAAAACATAATTAGTACTTAAATTCCAGATTGCTTTTGCCATTTCTTTATTGTGCGTTAGTCAAAACATAATTAGTACTTAAATTCCAGATTGCTTTTGCCATTTCTTTATTGTGCGTTAGTCCCATACTTTAGAATCTAACTCATGTTGAAGATGGATTCTAAGCAACCAAAAAATCTGTGTGGTCAATAAACATTATAAGTCAATCTTACATGTGACTTCCTTTAAGTCGTAACTTGCGAAAATGGCAAGTCACCTATGAAATTTACACAATCTAATCTTGACATGAACATAGTTTTAAATGGCGAATGGCGAGGCGAGGCGATTCTCCATGGCGAGGCTGCGGCAACACAAACCATCAAAACTTAAAAAAAAAATATATATATAGATAGTAATATCATATATTTAAGTTTTAGTGTCAAAAATAAACTTAAACATCCTCAAAGAAAATGGTATTAATTAAATTTAGTTGTAATTACTAAAAGCATCTAAAACTTAAATGTGAATACTAGTAACATTACAAAGAAAAAACATTGAATTTATACTCTGCAGTAACATAAAATAGAAAAATGTCAAACAAGGTAAATAAAGAGGGTAAAGTATAAGAAATAAAAGAAAAGATGTTGTACCTATTGCCGTACTAGTAACATAAATAAAGTACAAAATGAAGAAAGAAGAAAAAGGAAGGCTGGAAATGGGATGGGTCGGTCGTGGGTTTCTACAATTTCAAATCTGAGAAGCATAGGGAGTTCTTTCGCAAAAACCCTAGTTTGGGGAAAAGCCATTTAGGGAGTTGTCACTGAAGTTTTTTTGCTTCCGTATTCTCAGTCTAAAGCCCTAGTTCTCAGTCTGGGAGATGAAGTGATAAAAGAGCACACCTGTCCTAATTTTATTCTCTTTCCAAAAAATGTTACACATTTTTTCTTTTGTTTTTTTATTTTTAATGGTCTGCACCTTTAATTCCTCTGAAAGGCGCCGAGGCGCGCCTCACAAGCCCTCTCGCCACGCGAAAACGCAAGCCGAGGCGACCTGAAACGAATGCCTCGCAAACAGGGTCGCCTCAGGCAGTGGCGAGGCGATGTGGCCCTCGCCTCGGTTGCCTCGCCTCGAGGCCTCGCCATGGCGTCGCCATTTTAAACTATGCACATGCATGAAGATATATTCCTACACCTATCATACCCAAAGAAACAATCCAGAGTAAAAAATGAACTTAAAATGCAAAATATAATGAATATCGACAAATTTTATTTAATACTTAAATTCAGGTGAGATGGAGGCTGCTAACATTCAGTGTGAACATATATCAGAAAGGTTCAAATAAGTAATCAAGCTTTGATAACAATAAATCACCGTATCAAAGTTAAAGATCAAAACTTTACCAACTTATAGCTATGTACAAACATCAACTGAAAATAAATTTTGAAAGTGAACATAATATACCAGAATCATATTTCCAGCATACGCATCCATGTGCAGGATCAACAAATAGGTATACGAAAATTATATAACGAGGATACACAAAATGATCTTCATATGACAGCAAAAATGAAAGAAGAAAAAAGATGAACTAAGCAACATAAACACTTCAATACCTTGAAACCTTTGTAGACAAGACCCTTCTTGTATAGCTGAGAGAACACCCACCACACAGACTCCATGAAATTCAAATCCATAGTCTTATAATCGTTCTTGAAGTCGATCCACCTTCCCATCCTAACCACAATCCTCTCCCACTCGTTCACATACCTCTGCACAATCCCCCTACACTCTTCATTGTAGTTCCCAATCCCCATCCGAATCACATCTTCCCTGCTCTTGATCCCCAAATTGAGATCAATCTCATGCTCCACGGGCAGACCGTGACAATCCCATCCGAATCTCCGGGTGACGTGATGACCAGTCATCGACTGGTACCGGGTCACGATGTCTTTGATAGTTCCGGCCAGGATGTGGCCGTAGTGAGGGAGGCCGGTGGCGAACGGCGGGCCGTCGTAGAAAATGTACTCTGGGAAATCTTTGGTGCGCTCGAGCTGGGTCTTGAAGGCGTTGACATCTTCCCACCATGAGAGGATCTTATCTTCTTGCGAGGGGAATGAGAAGTCCTTGCCTTCGCAGACGTCGTCCATTGCCGGTTCAATCGCCGACGGCAAAACCACGGCACGGGGATAGGGTTTTGGAGTGTGGCTGCGAAGGGTTCTTTTTCGTTGTGAATGTAGTTTGCCCTGTGTTTTGTTTTAGTGAGTGGGATTTAGATGGGCTTTTTTTAGCTCATGTGGAGTAGCGCTCCCACACTGGCCCATTAGATAGCAATTTGATGACACTGGCCAGTTCCTACTCGGAATATACCATTCCACCCACAGTGGGATTTATCAAGCCCAATTAAACTTATATATTATAACAAGGGCAATTTGCGTTTATACGTTAAGGAATTTAAAAGAATTGAATAAATACAAAAATAAAAACTTATTTATAAATATGTCTAATTTAACAAAATTATTTGGATAACTACAATATAACTGTGAAACAAAAAATAAAGATTTACCATCATAAGATTCCCGTAACTGACGTTATTCTATCTTTCATTAATTAAAAAAAAAAAAAANNAAAAAAAAAAAAAAAAAAATTTGAACTATACATCGTCCATCACGAGCAGCGTCAATCACAAGCAGCGCCGTCCATTTTTTGATCAACGAGATGGTGGAGAACACAACATATACATAAAATATACATAATATAAACAGTATATAAACGAAAATTATATAATATATATACCTAGGATCATGTCGATCCTTCTGATTTTCACTTCAAATCTTTCATACGAAAAAAAAAACTATACACACTCTAATAGTGTGCATATGAAAAAAAAATATAAACAATATATACACCAAAAATATACAGTATATATACATGCAACTACACAAACAACAAAAAAGATATAAATATACTACATATATACGACATATATACCGTCTGGTGGAGATGAAATCGCGAGTAGGGAGATGACGGATCGCCCTTCCCCATCCACCTCCGACGCCCTAGGTCACGGTCGCCCTTTGTCTCTTCACGCCGCCTTAAACATACGCGAGCAGGGATCCGGAATTTCAGTTCACACGTAAGGCAGAGGTCGTCGAGAGCGCCGCCGGTGGTGTAGCAGACGAAGCCGCATAAGTCTTCATAGCAGGCGAAGGCGTCAGCGGGGGGCACCCAGAAGGAGAAGACGAGGTCGAAAGGGTCAGGTTTGATGCCTTTTCTGAACTCGAGGATTGATCGGACCTCTTCACGGGAGGCGGAGGCAGGCGGTGGAGGATGAGGAAGAAGGTGAGGGTGAGAGTCATCGGCGGTATTTGCGAGAGATAAAGAGAGAGTTGGATACGTTTTTCCCTAATTTGAGGAAATATCTCATAACCTTATTTATGTTGAATAATAGAATTCTCACATGTTTGCAATTAAAATATAATATTTGGTAGATTTGCTAAATATTTTTATTACCTCGTAATAGTGCAAATAAGTTATTGTGGCGTGGTGTCGGGTGCAATTTCCTCTTATAACAATTTGGGGTATTTTATCCAAAAGGTAAAATTGTATTTTTTTGTCTGACTGGTTTAACATCATCGCATTTTTAGTTCAAAGGATTTTAACTTTTTGTCTTATGATCTTGTAATTTAGTATTTTGCTGCAATTTCAGTCATTTGGGAAATTGCATTGACTTTTAAAATCATAGGACCAAATAGCAAAAATATTAAATTCTTAGAACTAAAAAGGCCAATGGATCAAACTAACAGGACTAAAATATAATTTTACCTTTATCCAAACATACCTGAAAAATTGAACTTCACGAACCAAATGAGAAGAAGGCGACAAACACATAAGATTAGAAGAATGGAGCTCAAAGAAAAAAAAATCGCTGATCCAATTTCCATTGTTTACCCTTTCTGTTGTTTGGCATCAATCACCATGAGTTACTCATCATTATATTATTCTGTTCATCAGTTTTCCTTTCGTTTTTCAGGTTGAATGGTCTTTGAATTTCGAAACTGCAGCATAACAGTGCCGCAATGAAATTGCTAATGATTATTCATTAAGTGATTATGATCTAGGTTATTGGTTGTGGCGCAAATAGATTGTTCTGTTTCTTCTCGATTTTGATAGTTGTTGCAGTATTTTCTTTTCAATGGGTAGTGAGGACTGATATAATGTCCTGTAAACAATGTCAACCAGCTGAAATGAACTTGGCAACATGTAGCCTCAACATAATAATGGAGACGTGGGTATATAATCCTAAATTTTGATGTATTGGATCTTGTAAAGAAATCATTATATAATGTTTGTTAAGAATTTGGATTTTTCAACTCATTTTTTCTAGGGTGCTGAAAAATAGGTGGAGTTGTTTCCTTATTTGTTTTGGATTTTCTCTCCATCTTATTTTACTTTTATTTTGTTGACTCCGTGGTTGGTTAGCTTATTTGGTCTCAAGTATTAACCTTATAGTTGCAAGTGCCTCGATTTATTGCAGGATTACTTTGCCTGAGCTACTTATTTAGGTCATATAGTATCGATTTGTACACCTTGATGATTTTAACTTGTTAGAGAATTGGGAACATTTGGTGGATATTATGCTTATTTTAGAATGAAAGCAGTAATCATGAGTGGAAGTTACGCTCTTAAGGTAGTGTTGCAATGAGAATAATTATAAAATAGGTTGGTAATTGTTCTATTGTAGTTGCTTATAAGTCCAAAAAGCTGCTGAGATATAACTAATTATGCATTTCAACTGTCGTATATCTCACGGTGTTGGTGGATTTGCATTTGCTCATATTGACATAAAAGAATATATCGGAATAAGATCGACCAATAAGTGGAAGGCCTTTGTTTTGATTCATTGAATGAATTTTCCATGAATTGATAAACTTTACACTCAATATTGGCTTTTCACTCATATGAAAGATTGATAGTTGAATTCTGGATGATATTTAACGCAGATTGTATAATCATAATAAGTTATAATCAATATTTTTATTTCGAACAAACTCTTGACAAGGATGAAATTAGTTATGATCTTGGCTCTCTTTACTTATTATGTGATATTTTGTCTTAGAAATATGGTGGAAATATGTTATTTGTGTTTGGTAGTGGGGAAATTTTAAATGCATTAGGCTTGGAACACTATTTACAGTAATCAGCCATGGTTGAACAATTGCCTTTAACCAACACCAGCATAACCATTCTTCATATCATTCCAAAGTTGGTGTTATTTTACCTTGCTGGTTTTCTTGTTTATTTATTTTTAATTTTACCTTTGCATGAATGATCTCACATTTTTTGTAATCTGTTATGTTGAAAAAAAATTAATTTTTTTTATTTTGCATGACAAGTAATATTAGGGCTGAGCATGAAACTCAGGAAATTCTAAACCGTTCTGAAAACCGAACTCAAAATCACTCCAAACCAAAAATAAACGTTGACCGTTTGACTTTGTCCGAATCGAACCGAACCGAACAGAAAATATAATTGGTATGGTTTTGGAGATTTCACAAATATCTGTATCGAGAACCGAACCGAACCGTTCCATACCGTATTGAACCAAATAACCAAAATTAAGAACCGAATTTTAAAAATATATGTGTGTTATTAATATATTTTATATCAACTTTGATCATATATGATTTGAAAATTTTTAAAATGCAAATAAAATATAGTAATGACAAAATTTAAGTTCTACTTAATTTTATGATTAGTAATACTTAATCTACAATTGAATTTTCCTTTTTTTAAAAATATATATATATTTAAAATGGAATGAAATGGTAAAGAATTG